TGTGGGTGTGTGTGTGTGTGTGTGTGTGTGTGTGTGTGTGTGTGTGTGTGTGTGTGTGTGTGTGTAATGGAACGGGGTTAAAAAAAAATCAGTTTTTTGAGTATCGAAACTCAGTATCGGTTTACTCTTAGAGTGGATGCGTACTGGTATTACCGTATTGGCCCGAATATAAGATGGCCCTGATTATAAGACGACCCCCTCTTTTTCAAGACTCAAGTTTGAAAAAAGACTTTTTGAACACCAAATTAATTTTTATACAGAAAATAATTACAGTACATCTGAAACAAATGATTAGAACAATATTTGAGAGAAAAAGCACGTTATTTTGCCTCATACAAATTTTAATATCTGAACATTTAAATATGTAAACTAAAGTGCAATCACATTCGTGAATAAATGGCTTCTGGTTTTTGAAATGTAAATTACATCATAACTTCTCCTCAGCTGGCGGTTAACCTGGCCAATCTTCGACCCACTTTTCTCCAGATTGTCGCTACGTTTCTCCATTTTCTGTTATCTCTTCTATTATTTTCTTCTCTTCTTTCTGACTGCTATTTTCTTATTTTTCTTCTTCGTGCTACCGCTATTTTTATTTTTATTCTTCGTAACAGGGGTTCGCTTTGGCCTGGAGAGTCAAGTGCAGCATTCGCTTCAATGATATCTGGCGCCATCTCGCGTCGTGAATGGGTATAACGTCTAGACCCCGAATATAAGACGACCCCCACTTTTTCAGTCTTATTTCAATGCAAAAAACATCGTCTTATATTTGGGCCAATATGGCATATACATTCGAACCTTGTTACAACGTACCTCGACAGACAGAACGAATCTGTACTAAATAACGGTAGTTTGTCGTCACCATTTCCGATAAAATGGCCGCCAAACACGCCCGCCTCCCTTTTTGAGGGAAACTGTCCTGGACGAAATGGGACGCTTTTGTTTGCAATTCGAGCACATACCTCGGACTCCACCCAGGCGTTGTAGCCCGCGGGGCTGATGACCATCTCGATGACGGTCGCCACGATGAGCAGCACCAGAACGGCTGGTGACACGTACCTCCACATGTAGTAGTAGAAGGAGTACGGCCGGAAGCCCAGCATGTCCTCCAGGTCCTGCATAAACCTGCGAGAGGGAAGCAAGTGGCTGGGAAAGGCGGCGACAGAGCGACGGGGCTGCTGACGGTAAGTTGGCATCATACAGGCTGAAATGTGCGCCAACAGAAAGGGAATTCATATCGTTCATATTTTAATTTGAATAGCTGAACTTGAATTGAAAAACTGAATCGGGATTGTACAATTTCAGCTTTGATTGATTAGTTTGGAACTGAAGTCCAATCAGGGCGGCGCGGTGGAAAATGTCATGATTCGGTTTGGGGCCAACAGGTGGCAGTGTAGGGCTGCAGCTGCACACCTGTTGGTCATTAGGTAATTAGTGCTTTAAAAGGACTCCCAGCCGACTACTCATGGTCGGGTTATTGTTGCTGTTGCTGTTTGCTACTGTCATGTTTGTTTGTTGCCGTTTGTCTGCTACTGTCAGGTTTGTTTCGGTCATGTTTTGGTCACAGTTCTGTTCTAGCTTCAGTTGTGCTTTTTGTTTGCTACTTTGGACTATGTTTGTTTTGGATTTAGTTTTCTCTGTTTTAATACACTTCATCAAGTACACCCTGCTCCTTCCTCCTGCCTGCTTTTTGGGGTCCAGCACCACCTCGCAACGTGACAGAAAACAGGTCAGTACGTCGGCGTCACCGGGCAGAGGTGCATGGTTCGATTCTGGCCCAGCCATCCCCATGTGGGGCTTGAATGTTCTGTTTGGGTTTTCTCCGGGTACTCCGGTTTCCTCCCACATTCCAAAAACATCCATGGCAGGCTAATAGAACACTTTCAATGGTCCAGAGGTGTGATTGTGTGCATGAAGGGTTGTTTGTGTCCACTGCGATTGGCTGGCAACCAGTTGAGGGTGTCCTTCGCCTACTGCCCGATGACAGCTGGGACAGGCTCCGGCACACCCGCGTCGCTGGTGAGGAGAAGTGATTCAGATCACGGATGGATGATGGATGAAGTCCAATAACCTTGAACCTGAACTGAAAATGATGAAATGTGTTTCATTTTCTCAAAAACTGTATTTGACCATCATTGAAAATTCATCCTTCCATCCATTATTTGAAACCGCTTCTCCTCAGGGGGGTCGGAGCCTATCTCAGCCATCTTCGGGCCTTAGGCGGGGAACACCCTCAATTGGTTGCCAGTGTGTTTCCCATTGAAAATTCAATATTGTGTATTTTCATATTTCCAAATAGAAATTCAGCTCTGCGCATCACAAATTCAGTTCTTTTGACAAACATCCGCGCACATTTCAGGAAGATCAATCAACTGCGGTCCGCAGATCGCCTTTCCGGAATATCATTCCAATGTTGGGCACCTTTTGGTTCCGTATATCCAGGCCACCGAGATGTTCTCCAGGATCACCACCACCGTGAGCGGCAAGCCGGCAGAGTAGTCGTCAAACATGGTGACAAAGTAGTTGCCTGAGCGCTGCACAAAGAGCAGCCCCAACAGGAAGGCGATGATGCAGCAAGCCACTGAGGGAAGCAAAACGGGCGCTCAGAACTCGCACCGACGTCAAGTCGCCGAAGCGAAAGGAAGGAAAAACTCACCGCACAGGATCTCTTTGCGAATCTTGAAGGCATCGAGGATGGGCGTGGTGATGCCCGTCATGGTCCCGATCATGCTGCCCAGGCCCAGATTGATGAGCATGAAGAAGAACATGACCGACCAGAAGGGACTGGCCGGGAAGTGCGTCATAGCTTCGGTGAAGGCGATGAAGGCCAAACCAGTTCCCTGCACCGCCTGCACAATGACGATGATGACGTCGTCAACTGCTCCCGGACAGAGGTGTCCAAACGACGGATTGGGGGCCGTTTGCGATCCCACAGCCTGTTTTTGTTAGCCGCCTGCAGCTTATATTCAAAATCATTTCGGGTGCGACACCCAAATTAACAACGACGACTCCCACAAAATACATTTGCTTCCCTACATATGCAAAGAAACTATTTACGAGTGAAAGAGAAACAACATATCAACAGACACTCATGAATAAATCAAAATCAGGGCCAGGGGTGGATCTATCCTTCTGAATAGCTGAACTTGAATTGAAAAACTGAATCGGGATTGTACAATTTCAGCTTTGATTGATTAGTTTGGAACTGAAGTCCAATCAGGGCGGCGCGGTGGAAAATGTCATGATTCGGTTTGGGGCCAACAGGTGGCAGTGTAGGGCTGCAGCTGCACACCTGTTGGTCATTAGGTAATTAGTGCTTTAAAAGGACTCCCAGCCGACTACTCATGGTCGGGTTATTGTTGCTGTTGCTGTTTGCTACTGTCATGTTTGTTTGTTGCCGTTTGTCTGCTACTGTCAGGTTTGTTTCGGTCATGTTTTGGTCACAGTTCTGTTCTAGCTTCAGTTGTGCTTTTTGTTTGCTACTTTGGACTATGTTTGTTTTGGATTTAGTTTTCTCTGTTTTAATACACTTCATCAAGTACACCCTGCTCCTTCCTCCTGCCTGCTTTTTGGGGTCCAGCACCACCTCGCAACGTGACAGAAAACAGGTCAGTACGTCGGCGTCACCGGGCAGAGGTGCATGGTTCGATTCTGGCCCAGCCATCCCCATGTGGGGCTTGAATGTTCTGTTTGGGTTTTCTCCGGGTACTCCGGTTTCCTCCCACATTCCAAAAACATCCATGGCAGGCTAATAGAACACTTTCAATGGTCCAGAGGTGTGATTGTGTGCATGAAGGGTTGTTTGTGTCCACTGCGATTGGCTGGCAACCAGTTGAGGGTGTCCTTCGCCTACTGCCCGATGACAGCTGGGACAGGCTCCGGCACACCCGCGTCGCTGGTGAGGAGAAGTGATTCAGATCACGGATGGATGATGGATGAAGTCCAATAACCTTGAACCTGAACTGAAAATGATGAAATGTGTTTCATTTTCTCAAAAACTGTATTTGACCATCATTGAAAATTCATCCTTCCATCCATTATTTGAAACCGCTTCTCCTCAGGGGGGTCGGAGCCTATCTCAGCCATCTTCGGGCCTTAGGCGGGGAACACCCTCAATTGGTTGCCAGTGTGTTTCCCATTGAAAATTCAATATTGTGTATTTTCATATTTCCAAATAGAAATTCAGCTCTGCGCATCACAAATTCAGTTCTTTTGACAAACATCCGCGCACATTTCAGGAAGATCAATCAACTGCGGTCCGCAGATCGCCTTTCCGGAATATCATTCCAATGTTGGGCACCTTTTGGTTCCGTATATCCAGGCCACCGAGATGTTCTCCAGGATCACCACCACCGTGAGCGGCAAGCCGGCAGAGTAGTCGTCAAACATGGTGACAAAGTAGTTGCCTGAGCGCTGCACAAAGAGCAGCCCCAACAGGAAGGCGATGATGCAGCAAGCCACTGAGGGAAGCAAAACGGGCGCTCAGAACTCGCACCGACGTCAAGTCGCCGAAGCGAAAGGAAGGAAAAACTCACCGCACAGGATCTCTTTGCGAATCTTGAAGGCATCGAGGATGGGCGTGGTGATGCCCGTCATGGTCCCGATCATGCTGCCCAGGCCCAGATTGATGAGCATGAAGAAGAACATGACCGACCAGAAGGGACTGGCCGGGAAGTGCGTCATAGCTTCGGTGAAGGCGATGAAGGCCAAACCAGTTCCCTGCACCGCCTGCACAATGACGATGATGACGTCGTCAACTGCTCCCGGACAGAGGTGTCCAAACGACGGATTGGGGGCCGTTTGCGATCCCACAGCCTGTTTTTGTTAGCCGCCTGCAGCTTATATTCAAAATCATTTCGGGTGCGACACCCAAATTAACAACGACGACTCCCACAAAATACATTTGCTTCCCTACATATGCAAAGAAACTATTTACGAGTGAAAGAGAAACAACATATCAACAGACACTCATGAATAAATCAAAATCAGGGCCAGGGGTGGATCTATCCTTCCGGGACATGGGGTTGCGGACCACCCGAAAATCATGAAAAATATCAAATTGTTTGCCTTAACGCCACAAACAGGTGTTAAAAATAACTCCAACAAGAACAAAAACGTGACAATGGGGGTGGGGGTATTCTCCCATCTGCGGCCCCTTCTCAAGGTTTTTCCGCAGATGGGGCTTTTTGGGGGGAGTTTTACCTTGCCCTCCTGGGGGTTAGGGTCAGGGGATGTCGTCAACATTTGTGGGCATGCGAAGCCCTTTGAGACTGTTTGTGATTCAGGACTATCGAAATAAATTTTGTCTTAACCACAAGAACTAGAACAGATAATTACTGGATGAAGTGGTTTGAACATGTTGGATCAAGTCGGAGAATGTCAAAGCGGCTCTTGCGTCCTTTGATTTTGTTTGTTCCTATATTGGAGGTAAAATGTGGACAACTGCGGTCTAGAAAATGGATGTCACTCACTTTGTTGAGTTCATCCTCCAGCACGCAAGGATCGAGGCCCAGCTGGGCAAAGTTGTCCTCTTTGACCGTCTTAATGACCGCGTACATTTCCGCGTAGTCTTGCGTGCTCAGGTGCGAGAAGTTGACGTGAGGAGGGATCAGCTCTTTGCTCAGCACGCTCGTGTTGAGGTACACCAAGATCTTCTCCGCATTCCTGCACAATTATAACGTTTATAAAAAAAAAATATCCTGCGCGCAGGCGTCCGCCGCGTGTCAAAACCAACCAATGGGAGGCGGGCGGGGGTGACGACATACTCACTCCACGACACACTTTTCGTTCATGATGTTGGCCTTGAAGCCCAGCACGGCGAACACCACCAGCGTGGCCAGGATGGACGTGACGAAGTTGATGATGGAGACCAGCGCGGCGTCAAAGTGGCAGTTGTTGTCCCGCTTGTTGTAGCTGGAGAAGGCGATGACGCCGCCGAAGCCGAGGCCCAGTGCGAAAAAGACCTGCGTGGCCGCCTCTCGCCACACCTGCGGCTCCAGCATCTTCTCCAGCTGACAATCGGCGCCATATTTGTCAACATTTTTTTTTTTTTCACGGCATTCAACCTTCGCGTCACTTGATCTCGGACCATACGAAAGCCTTCCGAAGCTGCACTGCTACCCTGAAAGGGAGCATTCATCAGGCCCTTCATTTTTCTAGACGCTTGTCCTCATTAAGGTCGCGGGTGAGGTGGAGCCTGTGCAAGCTGAGTCTTTTCAAGGACACTCACTACTCTCAGTCCTGATAAATGTCCGCAGGTTCTAGAGCGTTTTCTAATCGGGTGATCCAGGGCTCTTGAATGCCCGATCCACGGAAATTAGAGCAGCTACCTCAGTTGAAATGTTTAAAAGCCCATTTAAGACTGATTTGGATCCACTTGCAATTAGTTGAACTGCATTTTGGCCTGTTTGACTGCCGCTTCCTCTGTTTGTCCTTCCCACTCCTCCCTGATCTGGAGAGCGGGGCTAGGTCATGATGACCCAATTGGCGATGACTCAATTGGATGTCGCTGTACAGATTCTACTCTGACATGATTTGCACCGAATGAGCTGGATGGACTACTCGGAGGCGCCGCTATGAAGATTTCTTCAGGGGATGTCGTCAATATTTGTCAACTGTGGACACGTGAAGCCCTTTGAGACATAAATGCTACCGTTATATAAATCATCGGAAGTTGACTTGACTGGATGCTGTCGCAATGAAATGATGTGAAACACGACACGTGCTGGACGACCCTTCAGCAACCCGTCGGGCGGCTCGATCGTGCGGCCCAGTCTGCGATATTTCGGACGGACGGATTGACCTGCCTCCTGCGCCGCACCGCCTTCACTTTGAACGGGCCTGCAGGTGGCGACTCACCTTGGGCGTGAACATGTGCGCGATGCCATCCACCGCTCCCCTCAGCAGCAAACCTCTCACCAGGAAGCAGAAGAGCACCACGTAAGGGAAGAGAGAGCTGAAGTACATCACCTGAAGGAGACACAGAGGTCAGATTGTTGCCATGGATACACAAGGCCCGCGAGCACACGCACGCACGGAAGCAAAGGCGTTGGCCGACTGTTTTCATGAATGAATTGGGAGAGCGTGACCTTGCGTCATCCATAAATGTGAAAGATGACTTAAAAAAAAAAAAAAAAAAGCGTCTGTGCCATTTGAGCCAACGAAAAGTCAGAAGAAAGTCATTTCTGGAAAAGTCCGAAGCAAGAATGAAGAAACGCGGGTTGTCATCGCCCACCTTCCCAGATGACTGGATGCCCTTAATGACAGCCAAGCACACCAAGATCCAAGCCACCAGCAGGGAGAGCGTCATCTTCCAGTTCAGGCCGCCCGTGTCGTCGATGCTGCTGGTGATGTTCAGCGTCTGACGGTACCAAAAGTAAGTCGTGGCCGAACTCTTCTCGCACTCCGGTTCCGTGACTGCAACGACCAAACAAAGTGAGTTGTGTGCGCATATGTGCCAGGTATCGCTTTCTTTGACTGGAAAAAAAAAAAATAGTGTCGCATTGTGTCGATGCACCTGTGTTTCTTTCGTTAATGTTTCAAGTCAAACTCTGTTGCGTCGACTGCATGCTCGCCCGTGGCGTCAACTTGAATTTTTCAGCACCGATGATGGCACGCACACTTAAGAAGAGATCACCTCGCTGTTAGCCTCGGCATTTCTTCGACTTTTGTCTTTTGACCGACCCGTGGCGACAATTTGAAAGCGCATCCATGGATGGATGGATGGATGGATGCAGTAGCCAGGCAAGTCCAAATTTAATTCAGTTCAAATTTGTGTAGCGCCAAATCTCGCCGGAGGTGAAGAACCATACCGCTCTCACATGAAGGGACCATTTGAATTTAAAGTTGCACACCTTCAGTGCTGCCGGATGCAGATGCAGCATATTTAAGAGAAAGATAAAGGAGGCAGAGAAGGTTCCCAACAACGCCGCTGCTCCCACAGAAAAGAGGAAAAGAGGACACAGTATATGCCTGTGAATAATTTTGCATGCTCTGTATGTGTGTGTTAAGGTAACCTCGGTCATAAAGTTGAATTAGCAAAACAGCAAAGCTCATTTCCATTCGCTCGTCTATGGCGGTTCACATCATATGGTCACATTAAGCAAGTGGACCTTTATCAGACTACAAATAAAAAGTTTTTTTTTTGACATATTATTGCTAGAGGAAGATCACGAATGCTCCCATCGCGATGAACTCTGGTATAGTCCACCATGAAAGCGGGGTGGCGGTTGATTATCTATGTCCAACCATGCTTGAAAAGCATTCTCACGGAAAACGTTTTGGTTTTGGTGCGCTTACTGGCTTGGGTTCCGTTGATGTGGACCGGGCATTCGGCCCACGGGAGCGGGTACTGGAAGGACTGGAAGAAGTAGAAGATGCTCCAGCCGATGATCACGTTGTAGTAGAGGCCCACGAAGCCGCAAACCTGCCACCGGGGAGAGACAGCTGCGCGTTAGCATCGAGTGGCGCTAACAAACAAACGGGGTCACGTGACTTCATTTCTTCATTTTTTTACGGATTTGCACAGCGACACAAGATCGATGTGAACAAATCCACTAAAATCCACAGTGACTCGGACTCCCTTGTTCCGCCTGAAAAATTACTGTTCAGTCATACACTGAGCTAGCAGGTGTCTCTTCCCCTGACCTTTTGCCAAAGCCAGCTGGCCACAAGGTTTGCCAGTCCTGCTAACTGACAGCATTGAAGCGCCAGTTTCCATCAGGTTGCACAATCGCAAATAAAGGTCGGTGTACAGTGAAAGTAAAAGAATTAAGACGTAAGGAATAGGCACATATGTTACAGCGATTGTGTGTGTGAGTGGTAAGGTGAAATGCGGTTTATTTAGTTAGTTTCGTCCAACGTGTCCTATTTGAAATCTCCTGCGGCAGGAGATGCTGAGTCTACGTCAGATTAACTCGGAGTGCCAATGAATTATTGAGCTGTTGGCTCTCAGCAGTCTTGGGTGAGGCGCTATTTATAGCTGGCCAACGACATGCGCCCCCCCCCCCCCCCCCCCCCCCGGAAGAGAGAGAGAGATAGAGAGAGAGAGATAGAGAGAGAGAGAGAGAGAGAGAGAGAGATGACGTTTACAAGCAGTCAAAAGGCGGTGTAAGGTCCAAATTCCGCTTTCTGAAGCATTCGGAAAGCCCCGTTCAGCGGACCGTCGCTCCTGCATTTGAATAACCCGATTTAAACGGCACCGCGCGGACGTCGTGATGCAAATAGACGTCATTTCCGCTCATTGCGTTGTACGGTCAACAACACACGTGATATTCACGATACTCGCAACAGGAATAAATCAAGAGGGTGTCCTTATCGCTCCAAATTTGTGCTTTTGTGCCTGGGCCTCTCAGCTTGGGTTTTTTTTTTTTTTTT